AAGAACACCAGGACAAAAACTGTATCATTTGATCTGCTATAAAGTTTTAGCAGACATAACTTTAATGTTAAGGTCCTGATGTTTGTTATAATGAATAAATCATGAATTAAATTAAATGTTGATCGTTATCTATGCAAAGTACAGCTCTGTTTCAAATGGCCTATTTATACTCTTTACTAGCCTCTAACATTTTCTTATTTAGGCATGGTACCAGATTATACATATGAGACTGGGACAAATACAGCTGTACTTACACTAGCAAGTATTAAACAGTGTACATAAGCACATGCTTAATTTCAGCTTCGGAGCCACTGGAGTCAATGAATGTAAATATGTGTTTAAACCCTTTACTGTACTAGGTCCTAAACTCGGAAGGAAATGTCTATAGGATGATTCTTAAATAGAAGGCTGACCCAAATCCCTTTGTGGAGGCCTGGAAATCTTTCCAAAGACTTCGGTGAGTTTGGGATCAGGCCAATAGATGAGATGCTAAGGGAGATGACAGAAACACGGCAACACAGTAATCAATTCTCAATCCACTGTGTGGGAAAGTATCTGGAACTTTGTCACTCCGTTTTATGTTTCTAAGTCTACATCTACAGTTAGAGTTGAGAGAGTGGTTTCTGACTCAGTGAGAGATACTAGTCATAGCAGCGTGAGATGTGGGACGGTCTGGCCACCCCAAGTATAAACTCAGATCCTCTGGTGGGTACATTACACCTCTCACAGCTCATGCTGCTGCAGCTACATTCTAATTTTTGCATACTAACTCCCTGAAAAGCTAGTGAAAATATGTCTTCTTAAGTTGGAAATCAACTGCCTAGCTCAAGGTACAGACATAGCCTAAAATGCAGAGTGTTTCTTCCCACTAGAACTGATGACCCAAACTTCCTTGAGAAGTGATTGATAGGAGAGGGGCTGACCTATCAGTTCTTTGCAACCACCTAATTATACTGTAAATCAGGAAGACACTGACATGTGTGAACAAAAAGTTGTTTCAGGCGCTTTTGTGTTTCCATTTAAATGAGATGCTCCTTTAAAATTAGGTGAAACAGTAGTGTAATTAACTTGCCATCAGGGATATACAAAGAACAAAATGCTAAAATGAGCCTGTAAAGATGTTGAACAGTTTTATGACTTGGATGCTTGCATTTGGTATTTCTGATTTCATAATCTGACAAAGGTGACTACAAATGTGTGCGATGTAGAGATGTGATAGAGGCAGCAAGGGGGGCCAGGCAACTCCTGCCTGCTCCCCAATCCCCACCCCCGCTGCATCTGTGGGAGACAGCAAGGGGGGGCAGGTGGTTCCACTGAATGCACACGCAGAGAGCTGTCAAAAGTTGGCTCCTCATGCATATTGGTTCCCACCTCCTCCCACCCCATGCTGCTGCCTCTGGTAGAGAGGCAGCAGCACATGTGTGTGTGTGTGCGCGCGCACCCCCTTCACCCTTTGCACTGCTGCCTTTTTATCAGAGGCAGCAGCATGGGGGTGGAGTGGACAGGCATCTCTGTGGATCTGGTGCTCTGATACAGAGGCAGTCGGGGGCGGGGGAGTGAGAAGGGGGAGATGCACGTAGTCAACTACACGATGACATTCCAAGTGGAATGAAAAAAATAGCATCAGGAGCTAACCTCATTGTTTTGTCAAATTGTTTGTATTGCTCCTGCATCATTTGATGCGGTGACACGTACATCCAGTTTACAAACATGCAAAGAGATTCTACTCTCTACTTTGAAGAGGCACCAGCGGTTGTGGAGAGAAAAAGCCTCTTTTACCCTCACAAACCTCAAGAATAGGATGATCCCAGCACAACTTCTAGCAAGCTTAGTGGTCTACAAACAGCTCCAATAATTATACCATACATTAAACAATGCTATGTAAATTTAAGGTATTGCTGCCCAGAAAATGGCAGAAAGAAACTTGAATTATCTGATGTATATTGTTTAGCCTGCATGAATAATTGATGATAAAATACATATAATCATTGTTACTACTAATAGTAGATTTGCAGTATTGCATAAGGATCCCTGCTGAGATCATGGTGCCAATGTAGTAGATCCTGTCCAACCATAAAATATGAAACAGTCTCTGCCCAAAAGAAATTGCAGTCTAGATAAGACAAACTTAGGGTTAAGAAAGGACTATAACATACAAGAGAGTGAAGAGTGATGATTGGCAAACATCTTGTTAGTTCTAAGTTTTGGGGGTTTTCAGTTGTTTTGTTTGTTTGCAATCATTTTAATAAAAGATCCATATTAAGTCTTGCCTGGGCACATCTTACTCTGTGAGCGGTTTCCTGTACGAAGGAATACTATAGACTGTAAGCATTTGCTGGTCCAAAAGCCTAGAAGCAGCAATGTACATGAAAGGATGCAATCCAGTTTCACAGGCACCCATAGTGCCACCAAGTGGTACTAATATTCATGTATGGCAATAGGTCATTGGGAATCAAGTGACATGAAATAAAATTTCTAAAAGAAGTTAAGTGGTCATTATTGTATCTTTAAAGATTGCAATTCCAAGAAAATTATCAAAAAGACTCCAGATGCTATGATGTGGGGAAGGTAAAACCTACTGTAGTTTAGACAGTACTAATACATTTAGGCTTTTAAAGGTATCATCATCCCAACTGCATGATAATTTGATCTGATGAGATTTAATATTTCACTAGAACATCATGGATTCAGTAGGGTGCCATTTTAATGTAACATTATACTGCCGTGTTGAAGACATTTTCATACGATAGTTTGGCGCATTATAGTGACATTTTCTTACAAACGCATCATGTTAAGCGAGTTCTTTGTCAAACTAACATTTTGTTGCAATATATATAACTTGTAACTCTTACACCATATGGCCTTTTGACATATCATGTTGTTTTGATGCAACTGTGCTTAACTGCATGGCTGCGTCTAGACTGGTAAGTTTTTCCGCAAAAGCAGCAATCATGTAAGATTGTCAGTGTTCTTGCGGAAATGCTATGCTGCTCCCGTTCGGGCAAAAGCCCTCTTGCGCAAATACTCTTTTCCGCAAATGCTTTTAACAGAAAAACTTTTCCATTAAAAGCATTTGCAGAAAATCATGCCAGTCTAGACGTAGCATATGTTTACATTCTGTTGCTGCTCATCTCATTGTAGCACTTTATTTGCCATGTCCCACTTTTCACCAACTAGCGGACAAAGGTATTTTTCAAGCTGTGCAGTAACATCTTATCTCAAAAAGTTCATATGGAGACACTTTAAAAACAACAAATAGTTCTGCAGCACCTTACAGACTAACAAAAATGTAGATGGTATCATGAGCTTTGGTGGGCACAACCCACTTCTTCAGATGAATGGAGTAAGGGGTCCAGGGCTACCCCTCTGACACCATACGTAGGTAGTTATGTCCTGATGTAATTATATATTTTTATATATATAGTCAGTGTTCCCTCAGTCTTTTCCATCCATGTGTGAATTTTTTCCATCCCTGTGCATAAAAATGTTTATGTGCATCGAGGCATGTGTGAATGTGCACTACCAACAGAAACAAAACCTAGCTATGGGGCACTCTGCTAATCAGCTGGATAGCACTGGAATCTCTCCTGAGTGGCTGCAAAAGCACACAACTTACAGAGAACACTGATGCTGGTTACATTGCGATACAGACATACTGCACTCTGATGTCAGCAGAGTTAGGTGAGGATATTTTACTTGATCTAATACAGAGGTGGACAATAATATTTTGGCGGGGTCCACTTCAGAAGGGGCAGGGCCTCAAGCGGAAGAGGCGGGGCCAAGATACTTCCAGGTTCCTGACCCCCAGACCATCATTGTTCTGGGGGAGGGGGAGTACCTTTGCCCCTCCCCCAGGTTCTCCCTAGGTGCCCATGCCCCTGGTGTAGGAGACTTCCCACACTCCCCAGCCCCAGGCCAACAAGGGCCTGGGGGCGGGAGAGCATGCAAAGCCTCCTCCTGCCCTGCCAGGAGCATGCGGCTCTTCTAAGCGCCACACACTGCTCGCAGGGTGAGGGCAGTGGAGGAAACTTTGTGTGCTCCCCCCAACCCTGGCCCTGATTGGCCTGGGGAGCATGCAAAGCCTCCTCCCGCCCTGCCAGGAGCATGCGGCTCTTCTAAGCGCCGCACACTGCTGGCAGGGTGAGGGCAGAGTGGAGGAAACTTTGTGTGCTCCCCCTCCCCTGGCCCTGATTGGCCTGGGGAGCATGCAAAGCCTCCTCCCGCCCTGCCAGGAGCATGCGGCTCTTCTAAGCGCCGCACACTGCTGGCAGGGTGAGGGCAGAGTGGAGGAAACTTTGTGTGCTCCCCCTCCCCTGGCCCTGATTGGCCTGGGGAGCATGCAAAGCCTCCTCCTGCTTTTCCAGGAGCACCTGGCGCTTCTAAGAGCAGTGTGCTCCTGGCAGGGTGGAGGAAACTTCATGTGCTTCCCCTTAACCCCAGACCTTAAGTGGCCTGGGGGCAGGGAAGCAGCAGAGCCTCCAGGGGCCAGATCCAGCCCGGGGAGGCCATTTTGCCCACCTATGATTTAACGACTTGGCCTCACGATGGGCCCACTGTGCTGTGCTGTGCTGTGCTGCCATGTACACGCCGTTTCAATTCACTTTCCCTGGCAGCACAGTGCAAGCCGCGGCAGGGGCGCATCAAACAAGGAGACTCCCTAGGTGAGCGCCCAGACCCTGCTGGGACAGGAGAGAGGCTGTTGGCTGGCTGGGGACTAGGCTCATAATAAACAGAGGGCAGCAGCCTTCAATGATGCTGCAAAGCCACCCCGGGATGGGGGGGAGGGGTGGCCGCCCCCTCCCCGGCTGACGGAATGAGATCACATGTCCGGGGGCTACAATGCGACCCTGCAACGTGTCGCTCTGACGTCCTCAAAACGCGTGACGCCACGACACCGTCACGGGTTGCCGTGACATCACGCTGGGAGCAGCCCGTGGGAGGGGCGGGGATGTGGCCGGAGGGCGGCGGGAGCCGGAAGTGAGGCTATTCTCCTTCCGGGCGCACCTTTGCCGGGTCGCGCCTCCTTCCGGCCCATGCGCGTGCTAGGCAAGGCCTCGCCGCCGCGGGGCATGCCGGGTAAAGATGGATTCCTACGGGCTCTTCCGGAAGCTGGGGGCCGGCGCCAGGTTCGATCTGAAGCGCTTCAGCCAGGACGCGCGGCGCTTCAAGGTACCGCCCGCGTCGGGCGGGGCTTCCCCGGCGCCTGGTGCGGCCCGGCCCGGCTCTCTTGGTTCTGCACCCGGACCCCTTCCCCGGCGGGCTGGGCTGGGTCTGGCTCCTTGGTCGGGGGCCTGGCCGGTTCTGCTTCCCCGGGGAGGGGGCCCGCTCCAGCCCTGCGGCCCCGAGGGCAGCCCCTGTCGCCATGGCACCGCGGCGGTTGCGTAGCGGTGACAGTTACGTTTTAACCATATTTTTGCGTCCACGCCCCTCACCCCGATTCTGGCCTGCGCTGGCCCCATACCCACAGGTACTGGGACTAGGGCTGCGGGGGGTGCTGCAAAGCCCCCTGGCTGGAAGTGGTTTCCCTTCCACAGGCAGTCCCCGACTTACGGCGGATCCGCAGTTACGAACGGGGCTTCTCTCGCCCCGGAGGACACGGACTGTGGGACCTCGCGGTCCCGCCACCCATGTACTCCAGGGCAAGAAAAGCTGTTCCGCGTCTCCCTGGTCTGTAGACCAGGAAGACGCGGAGCAAAGCTGCGGAGGGGCTCGGGCAGCCGGGCAGCCCTTTTCCGGAGGATCTCTTATTCCTACTTGCAAGACTGGCACGATCCTCCGGAATAAAGCCCTTTTCCGGAGGATCTCTTATTCCTACTTGCAAGACTGGCACGATCCTCCGGAATAAAGCCCTTTTCCGGAGGATCTCTTATTCCTACTTGCAAGACTGGCACGATCCTCCGGAATAAAGCCCTTTTCCGGAGGATCTCTTATTCCTACTTGCAAGACTGGCACGATCCTCCGGAATAAAGCCCTTTTCCGGAGGATCTCTTATTCCTACTTGCAAGACTGGCACGATCCTCCGGAATAAAGCCCTTTTCCGGAGGATCTCTTATTCCTACTTGCAAGACTGGCACGATCCTCCGGAATAAAGCCCTTTTCCGGAGGATCTCTTATTCCTACTTGCAAGACTGGCACGATCCTCCGGAATAAAGCCCTTTTCCGGAGGATCTCTTATTCCTACTTGCAAGACTGGCACGATCCTCCGGAATAAAGCCCTTTTCCGGAGGATCTCTTATTCCTACTTGCAAGACTGGCACGATCCTCCGGAATAAAGCCCTTTTCCGGAGGATCTCTTATTCCTACTTGCAAGACTGGCACGATCCTCCGGAATAAAGCCCTTTTCCGGAGGATCTCTTATTCCTACTTGCAAGACTGGCACGATCCTCCGGAATAAAGCCCTTTTCCGGAGGATCTCTTATTCCTACTTGCAAGACTGGCACGATCCTCCGGAATAAAGCCCTTTTCCGGAGGATCTCTTATTCCTACTTGCAAGACTGGCACGATCCTCCGGAATAAAGCCCTTTTCCGGAGGATCTCTTATTCCTACTTGCAAGACTGGCACGATCCTCCGGAATAAAGCCCTTTTCCGGAGGATCTCTTATTCCTACTTGCAAGACTGGCACGATCCTCCGGAATTTTCAGTTTGATACAACAGCTGTCAGCACTATACACATTGTTTCAGCACCCCTGCCCCCTCCTCGCGGCTTGGTTCTGGCCCGCTTTGGCGCTTGATAGAATAGTCAGTGCAAAGCATTTTCTCCTGATGCCGGAGCAGTTCAGAGCATTGTGTATGGTTTTGATTTTTTTTTTTTTTTTTCAAATTTCAGGTGATAAAAGTGAAAGACGCGGAATTTGACACCCCAGAGAGTCTTGACTTTTTTGGAAGCAAAGATGCAAAGATTCCAAGTCTTTCCGAGAATGGCCGGGGAACAAATGGCTCCAAGAAATCGAAATCTAAAAAAAACCAGAAACTTGAATCACATATGGCTGAGAGAGCAGATGTCTCTGAGGAGAGACTTAATGTAGGGATCGCAAGGAAGAGAAAACAAGACACAGGAGACTTTGAAGGGAAGAAAAGGAAGAGAAAATCCCAAGGTACTGAGTTTCTTGTCTTCTACACAACAAGGGAATGTGTTCCAATTGCTTACATAATAGTAAGAGAACTGTAACAACAAATCTAAGAAATCTGACTTGTATGAACAAATGTAGGAATCAAAAGACTAAGCAAAAGACATTTCTAACACTAATAAATGGGGTTATACCAAAATGCCATGGAACTGTTCTGAAGGAGTACAAGACCCGGCTTTTAAGTTGGCTCTCTCCAGCACCAGCTCCTGCCTTCCTCTTCCCTACCTCTGCTGCTTCTGTAGGAGGCAGCAAGGGGAGGGCGGACAGGTTCATGGAGCTGGCATATGCTGAGCGCCAACTTCCCATGTGTATGGGCTCCCGCCTGCCCCCCTCATCCTCTGTACAGCTGCCTCTCTATCTGAGGCAGCAGTGTGGGGGTGGGGGATGGCTGGATTCAGTGCTTGTAGGGAGCCTGCTTAAGTTGGGCACCAGCTCCCGCCTTCTCCTATCCCAGAGGCAGCCACTGGGGGGTAGGGGAGCAGAAATGTGTGTAGTTGACAGGATTAACCAATAAGCCTAGACTTATTGGTTAGTCGTGTAGCTGTCTACACATTAACATCCCTAGTTTTCACTACCTAGTGAATCAACTGGCAGCAATCAGTCTCACAGGAGTTGAATTATCACATCTAGTATAAATGAGATAAATTGACTGCTGAGTACTCTTCTGTTGACTCCCATACTCAACCAGAATAAGAAGCATCGGTGGAGTTGACAGGAGAGTGTCAGCTGTCAACACTGTTGTAAATAGATTAAGTACATCTGCTTCAGCTACATCATTCACATACTTGAAGTTGCATTACTTAGATCAGTGGCCTGTGGTAGTGTAGACTAGGTCTACATCCCCTAGTGTGAATGCAGTTATGCTGGAATAAAAGTGCCTTATAAGGGTTTAGCTTATTCCTTTTCTTGTACGGGCCTAGGGCTAAGTCTGCACTGACATTTTATGGCACTGTAGCTTTCTGGCTCAGGTGTGACTGCCTCCCTCCCCTGAGCACAGCAAGTTACAGTGCTGTAAAGCACCAATGTGAACTGCTCCCTTTGAGGAGGTGGTTTACACAGAGTGCTGGGAGAAATCTCTCCCAACGGTCGTTCCATGCCCCACGCTTTCAGTTCAAAGCACTGCCAAGGCTGTGCTTTCAAATTTTGAGTGTAGACGAAGCCTAAGTTATGCCACCATGAGCACCTATGTATAAGGATAACTGCATTCACTGTAGGGATGTTGTCTTGCTTGCAATACTGCACATAAGGTCATGATGTCTTACCTAAATTCTGCCAGTGGGACTATGCTCATGGTTGCAACTGAGCAGTATTCATCTCTATTAGTTTAGTCATTACAGGGAAGGTTTAGGGTGTTTTTCAGTTAGTTCTTCTAGACTGCAATAGTGGATATAACTGGATGCAAACCGTATTAGAGTCTATAAGTAGGAGAAGTGATAACTCCATGGAAAAAGGTATATATCTTTCATCACTACCTCAGTGATAAAACAGAAGGCCAGGTCTACGTGACAGACTTTTGCTGGGGTATGTCCATCGGGCACGAAGAGGTGTGAGCCCTGATTGATATAGCTGTGCCTGGAGAAGCCCTTAGTATAGACACAGTTATACTGGCAGGTCCTTACTTTTACTTGCATAGCTTGTTTGCAATGTGGGGGTGTAAATAAATACATATACATTTACTATATCTAAAAGTAAGAGCTAGGACCACCAAATTTAGTGTACAGCTTCTTCCTATAACTTTAAAAGCAACGTAAGGGTTTGGTTGTGCCAGGAGAATGGGATGAGCCTGGAATGGGATTGCTTCTCATAAAACCATACCGAAGAGGGATAGAATCATCAGGCAGGTAAAAGTGGCTGGCTGGAGGCACCTCTGCACAACCTATATGGGACTGCCTCAGTCCTAAGCCTTCCACCCCCAAGTGCCCTTTAGGGAGGGGGGAGTGGGCTGAAGTTCCTTGCCTCCCCCCTTCATATGAGGATGTTGCAGACTGTTCCACTTGGTCAGGAAGCGAGGGGAAAGTGCACAGTTTATTGCATTCCTCACTCTGGCTGGGGAGTACAGGGGGCAGACGACCTGGGCACTTTGCTTTTGCCCCCCTGACAGGGACAGGAAGGGGAAGAGCAAGCAGCCCTGGTACAAATCTCTGGCAGGGAGGAAAGCACTTTGTGCCCCCTCCACACTTATCCCTACATACACACGTGTACTCGCTCATGGCTCCTCTTCTCCCCCCAACCTTGATGCCTACATCCCCCACAGTAGGGAGCAATTAACTATTTAATTGGTTAAATAGTCTCACACTTGTGAGGGCTAGGACTGTAACAGGGTTTAAAAGAGAACTAGATAAATTCATGGAGGTTAAGCCCATAAATGGCTATTAGCCAGTGTGGGTGAGGAATGGTGTCCCTAGCCTCTGTTTGTCAGAGGGTGGAGATGGATGGCAGGAGAGAGATCGCTTGATCATTACCTGTTCAGTTCACTCCCTCTGGGACACCTGGTATTGGCCACTGTCGGCAGACAGGACACTGGGCTGGATGGACCTTTGGTCTGACCCAGTACGGCCGTTCTAATGTTCACCCGCACCCACTGCCAGTAGAGGATGCTCCAGCCTGACTGATGGGTCCCGCAGGGCTGGAGCAGCCCCCTATTCATGGTAGGCAGGGAGCTGCTTCAGCCCCCACCGGTTAATGGGTGATGCCAGTTCCGGTTAACCTTTCATATTCCTACTCCACTGCCCCAGATCCTTGCCCTGAGCCCCTCCTAAGGACCCAAGCAATGCTGAGTAAATGCGCTAGTTTATCAATAAATATAGATGCTGATGCACATACAGGCTTTAATTTATGTGTAATTTATTTTTTGCTAAAAATCTGTGGAAGTTACTAGCTATGTTCTTGACCAGAAGAAGTTGGAAAATTTGCTGGCTGGCTGAATTTAGGGCTGATGAAATAACCTTGTTAGAATGCAGAACTAGTGCTTCGATGTCTGAGTCTGCACCCATTGGAGTCAAAAGGAACATTATCATTGACATCAGTGATCTCAAAATCAAGCTCCTAATCTCCATTCCTTTTACTAGATTATTCTATGACTTCTTTTTTGGTTTAAAGCACATTCACTGACATTTTTAGAACCTGTTCCAGTCAGCTCTGATGTAGAAAATGGTGGGATATTGTGGATGTCCTCTTTGAAAGCAAAGATTAAAGATACAAGAAAAAAGGGGGAGAAGAAACCCACAGCAGAGAAACTAGAACAACTTAAACGGCGAAAGGTAAGCCTTGCTTATTTGAATAGCTAAATATAGTTGTGTTACTTTGTGAGCACGTCATCTGGAAGCTGCAATCATTTGTTGCATCTTCTCTTGCAATGAAGTCAGTATAGAATGAAAAAAGAATTGGAAAATGGATCCAAATGTGCATGCTTACTAGTGTCATAAAAAGAAACTTATTTTAGATTAAGTAAATAACTTAATCTGTGATTGTATACGAAGACTTACTAAGTGTCTAATGGATGTAGGTAGTGGACTATTCCTGTGTGTAAATTTAAGCACATGAATAAGTTTGCAGGATTAGTGTCTTTATCTGGAGAGTAGCAAATGTTAATAGAGAAACTTACATGCTGACAATAAATCTGTAAAAGCTGTGACTATTCTGTAATTTTCTTCTAGGAAATGTTTTTTTTTTTTTTAAACACATTAAGTTGGAAGACTATTTAGAGCAATGGGGGTAACTCATGTAGCCCACTCACTAGTCTAGGTTGCCCATTGCTGAGTTAGGGTGTATCTATAGTGCAGGGCTTAACTTGAAATAAGCTACGCAAACTGAGCTATGTCAATTGCGTAGCGTATTTTGAAATAGGGAGCGTCTACACGGCACTTATTTTGAAATAGAGCACTGTTCCTCTAACTTCCCGTATTCCTCATACAGTGAAGGTTACAGGAGTTGGAGGAGTTGGAGAAGTCCTCCAGCTTGACAGTATTTTCATACAACTGACTGCGGTGTAGATGTGGACTAAGTTATTTCAGAATAGCGCTAGTTATTTTGAAATAGTGTTGCAATGTAGATGTACTCTTAGACGGTTTATGTGGGGTTTTGAGGAGGCAGCCTGGGCTGGTTGTTAGAATACAGGAATGAGAATCAGAAAATTTGAGTCCTATTTCAGTTCTGATGCAAACACTCACTGTGAACTTGAACTAGTCACATTTTCAGATCTGTAAAATACAGCCTCCATGAAGGTGTTAGCAGGTTTAATCAGTTTCTTTGAAAATATGTTATTGAACAAAGTGGCTGCTGTTGTTTTCTGTAAAAAGTTCCTTTCTGACATGTTGAATAATTTGTACATTTTTGCCTTCTAGATAAACCATTTCAGAAACAAACACAAGATTAGTATCCAAGGAACAGATCTCCCTGAACCAATTGCCACGTTTGAGCAACTTCAAGCAGAATATAAAATCCATCCTAAAATAATGCAGAATATTCAAGCTGCTGGCTTCCAGGTCCCTACGCCAATTCAGATGCAAGCCATTCCAGTTATGCTTCATGTAAGTCTCCTTGTATTTCAAAGCGTAAGACATTGAGATGGTATAACTCAGTCTGAGAGTTCCCACTGGGGACATAAAAATGTTGTTTATTTTAAAACACGGTAATATAGTTCCATACTCAAATGTTGTGATGGTATGATAAATGAAAAATGTTTCCACTAAACTTCCTCAAGTTCTGTATTTCCTATCGTCAGGAAGTCAACTTGCAATAGTTTAAATGTAACTCAACTTGCAATAGTTGTAATGTTATTGAGGTAATAATATTAAGTAAGAAACTTAACTCTTGTATTTCTTGCTATTTTTTAGTCCAATGTATAAGTCAAGTATTTGTGTTTAATGCAGCTTTTTGGTTTAATTAAAAACACTAAATGTAACTTCAGCTTTTTTGTTTTATGTTCCTAGAGTCGGGAACTTTTAGCTTCAGCTCCCACTGGATCAGGAAAGACTTTGGCTTTTAGCATTCCTATTTTAACACACCTGAAACAACCCATGAATAAAGGATTTAGAGCTCTAATCATATCACCTACCCGAGAACTTGCTAGTCAGGTAGGATGTTTTTTTCAATAGCATGTCATATAGGACATGTAGGATGTCATAAAATAATTATGTATTGTATTTGTAAGTACTTCCATTATTCTGATTGAGAAAAACAGGATGCTTGGTGGGCATATTTTTCTTTCCTATCCTTAAACTTCATCTTATAAAATTCAGGTTTATGTGAAAGAATGTTCAAAAAAAGTCGTCTGTCTTCTGAGATGTGCCTACTATGCTTCTGGGTATTATGAAATGTAAAGACATCGTTAGAACAGGAGATTGGGACTCAACATTCCTGTATCTTCTTTTAAAATTCAGTTGGACTATGTTACGTTTAACACTTATGAACACTGCACCTACATATGAACATACGTGCTCATAAATCTACCTTATCTTCTGTATTTGAGGCAGAAGCAGCCTTTTAAGTCTTAATCATAACTCAGATAATCCATATTTTTCTGTGTGGGGAATTCAATTTTACATCAGTGGGGTTTTTGAGTTTTCTAGTTAGAGCAGATGCAGAGTCTCACACTCGCATGCAGAGATGTAGGGAGAATTTTGTGCAAGTGAATAATTTATGTTTTTGTGATGTAAAAAATACTTCAGTGTATGTGTTTGGGTTTTTTCCCGTTTGAGTGGGTTTTGAAACAGTGCATGACTTACAAAAAACCTACAGAGAGTGAATGTCTTTGTTGTTGTTCTAAAAGGAAACCCAGTAGATATTGTTGTATATTTCAGACCCACCGAGAGCTAGTAAAGCTGTCTGAGGGGACTGGATTCAGAATACATATGATCCATAAAGCCACTGAAGCCACCAAGAAGTTTGGTCCCAAATCATCTCAGAAATTTGGTAATCATTCTAACAACTGTATAGGGATTTTCTGAAATATAGAACACAATTTTTAATCGATGTATGACTTAAACAGGTCAATAAGGGATCAAAATCCTGTAGTCACTTGCTTCTGTGAATACGGTATCCTTGGAATCAAGGTATTAAAAGAAGTGGAGGAGAAATAGCTCTAGAAAGTAAAAAGGGGAGAGCTATCTTCACTATACAAAACAAATGCCTCTTGACTACAGGAAAAACAACTTGTGGATGGGAAGGTGAAAATAAGAACTCAGACAACTGATTGTGCCATGGCGGTCAGTTGTTGGAGTACAGGCATGTAGCTGAGTAGATTATAGAAAGCAGAGTGGCACTTGAGTGCATTGTGGAGGCTTGAGCTCTGCCATCAGAATCTTACTCCGCTTGTGTTGTGAACTATATTTATTGAACATCCAGAATTAAATAAAAGCTAACATATCTTCACAGAGCCCTTATGTTTATTTAAATACGTAAAGGTGAACTGCTCCATTTTTTTCATAGATGAGGTGATCAGAGACCTAAGAACTTGAAGGCCTCTTAGCAAATCACTGTGGGTCCAAGGCCTGTGCTCAGGTCGCTACAGGATGATGTGTTTATATTTCAACATGCTTTTTTTTCATTCCTGTTTTTCTATAGATATACTAGTAACTACTCCAAACAGACTCATTTATTTGCTGAAACAGGATCCTCCAGCCATAAGCTTAACAAGGTAGGAACCAGGTTTTTTTTTTTTTAAAGTTTGTCTCTTTGCTAATGGCTTTCTCTCCATCAGGGTCTCTGAACAAGTGCTAAATCTCTCATAGGTATGAATTTTAAACCTACTATGTCCTTTCAGGATTTGAATATTTCTCCCCTATCAGCTGCTACCATTGAACAAAAAATCTTGTTTTTCCTAGAGTTGAATGGTTGGTGGTTGATGAGTCAGACAAACTATTTGAAGATGGGAAGTCAGGGTTCAGAGACCAGTTAGCCTCCATCTTCCTGGCATGCACGTCCCATGTTGTGAAAAGAGCGTTATTCAGTGCAACGTTTGCGTACGATGTAGAGCAATGGTGCAAACTCAACCTGGACAATGTCATTTTGGTGTCTGTTGGAGCACGGTAAGTGTGCAGGCCTTGACCGTATTGTCTTCATTGTGGGATCTCTTGGCTCAATGTTCTCAGCCCACATGGGGGCTAGCTGCTTGCATCTCCTCTCCCTTTTCAGTTGTGTATTCCTCAGCTATTCGCCTAGTACCGCAGTTCCATCACATTAAGGATCAGATCTGCATGGCAGTATGGTGCATGCATGAGTCTTTTTTTATATGACAGAGAAGGCGATGTTCTGCTTTAAGTGTTTATTTGCTGAGAGCAGGGTGCATTACCTTGAGGAGGAGGGTGCACTGGAAAATTACTTTGCGTCTTACAGTATTTCTTGAATAGTAAGCGTCTTATACTTGTAAGACATGAACAATGACTTATTTGTGTGATTTGATTTTGGTTTCAGAAACTCTGCAGCAGAGACAGTAGATCAAGAGCTCTTGTTTGTTGGCTCAGAGACAGGAAAACTACTAGCAATGAGAGATCTTGTTAAAAAGGTAATTGAGTGGCTGAGCACCTTCCTTCTTGCTTGTTACTTACAAACTCAACTACAGTGCAGAATGGGCTACATTTGAAAAAAGAGTGAGGGGGCTTGCCTATGAAAATCAAAGCCTTGTTCTCTGTTTTGGTCTCAGTGTTTTAACCCTCAAGTAAAATAGACACACAATTTGCACTGTTCATTGTAAATTAAATTTTCCTTAAATTTATTTTTATTGTTGTATGTAGTCAGGTAGCCGCTCAATTCTTTCTTCTAGATTGAAAAATAGAGTTGCTTTCTATGAAGCAAATTTAGTCTTGACCTTGTCGTCTCTATTGTGGGGATCCCTTGTCCCAAACGCAGTGCTACACTAGATCTGGCAGCTTGGTGTAAGCTATGCAACTCCAGCTATGTTGAATACGTAGCTGAAGTCGGCTTACCTTATGCCAAGCTTGGCAGTGTCCCCCAGCAGGAGGCCTGTCAGCTTCCCTTACTCCTCGCAAAAGCAGGAGTACCAGACGCCAGCGGGGGCACCCTCAGAGTTCGTAAGAACATAAGAACGTTCAGACTGGGTCAGACCAAAAGTCCATATAGCCCAGAGGCCTGTCTTCCAACCATGGCCAATGCCAGATGCCCCAGAGGGAGCGAACAGAACAGGGAATCTTCAAGCAATCACTCTACTGTCACCGATTCCCAACCTTTGACAGAGGCTAGGGACAACAACATTCCTACCCATCCTGACTAATCGCCTTTGATATACCTAACCTCCATGAATTTATCTAATTCTTCTTGGAACCCTGTTAAAGTCCTGGTCTTCACAACATCCTCTGGCAAGGAGTTCCAAAGGCCAACCATGCACCGTGCGAACAACAACTTCCTTTTGTTTGTTTTTTAACCTGCTACTTAATAATTTCATTTGGTGACCCCTACTTCTTATGTTATGGGAAGAAGTTAAAGGACTTTTATTCACTTTCTTCACACCAGCTATGATTGTATAGACCTCTATCATATCTCCCTTCCCTCACCCCCTCCCCCTCCGGCCCATCTCATCTTTTCTAAGCTGAAAAGTTCAAGTCTTTTTAATCTCTCTTCATATGGGACTCGTTCCAAACTCCTAATAATTTTTGTTTCCCTTTTCTGAACCTTTTCCAATGCCAAGATATATTTTTTTGAGACAAGGCAACCACATCTGTACGCAGTATTCAAGATGTGGGCGTATCCTGGTTTTATATAGAGGCGATAAGATATTCTCTGTCTATAGTCTCTCTGCCTTTTTTACATTATGGTCACTATTTCTAAGCGGTCCAGTTATATTTAGTAAATAGTGACCATAATATAATAACATTCAACATTCCTGTGGTGGGAAGAACACCTCAGCAGTCCAGTACCCTGGCATTTAATTTCAAAAAGGGGAATTACACAAAAATGAGGAGGTTAGTTAAACAGAAATTAAAAGGCACAGTGACTAGAGCCAAATCCCTGCAAGCTGCATGGAAACTTTTTAAAGACACCATAATAGAGGCCCAACTTAAATGTATACCCCAAATTAAAAAACATAGCAAGAGACCTAAAAAAGAGTCACCGTGGCTTAACCACCATGTAAAAGAAGCAGTGAGGGACAAAAAGGTATCTTTTAAGAAGTGGAAGTCCAATCCTAGTGAGATAAATAGAAAGGAACATAAACACTGTCAAATCAAGTGTAAACATGTAATAAGAAAAGCAAAAAAAGATTTTGAGGAACAGCTAGCCAAAAACTCAAAAAGAAATAACAAAATGTTTTTTAAGTACATTAGAAGCAGGAAGCCTGCTAAAAAACCTGTGGGTCCCCTAGATGATCGAGCTATAAAAGGAGCAATCAAGGACGATAAAGCCATTGTGGAGAAACTAAATGATTTCTTTGCTTCAGTCTTCACGGCTGAGGACGTTGGGGAGATTCCTGAATCTGCACCGTCCTTTGTGGGTGATGAATCTGAGGAACTGTCCTGGATTGAAGTGTCATTAGAGGAGGTTTTGGAACAAATAGAAAAACTTAATGTTAACAAATCTCTGGGACTGGATGGCATTCATCAAAGGGTTCTAAAAGAAATAAAATGGGAAATTGCTGAATTATTATCTGTGGTTTGTAACCTATCCTTTAAATTGGCTTCCGTACCTAATGACTGGAAGGTAGCCAACGTGACACCAATATTTAAAAAGGGCTCTAGAGGCGATCCTGGCAATTACAGACCGGTAAGTCTAACTTCAGTACTGGGCAAATTAGTCGAAACAATAGTAAAGAATAAAATTGTGAAGCATGTAGAAGAACATAATTTGTTGGACAAAAGTCAACATGGTTTCTGTAAAGGGAAATCCTGTCTTACTAATCTATTAGAGTTCTTTGAAGGGGTTAACAAACATGCGGACAAGGGGGATCCAGTAGATATAGTATACTTGGATTTTCAGAAAGCCTTTGACAAGGTCCCTCACCAAAGGCTCTTGTGTAAATTACATGGCCATGGGATAAGAGGGAAGGTCCTTTCTTGGATTGAGAACTGGTTAAAAGACAGGAAACAAAGGGTAGGAATAAATGGTAAATTTTCAGATTGGAGAGGGGTAACTAGTGGTGTACCCCAAGGGTCAGTCCTGGGACCAATCCTTTTCAACTTATTCATAAATGATCTGGAGAAAGGGGTAAGCAGTGAGGTAGTAAAGTTTGCAGATGATACCAAACTGTTTAGGATAGTCAAGACAGAAGCAGACTGTGAGGGACTCCAAGAAGATCTCACCAAACTGAGTGATTGGGCAACAAAATGGCAAATGAAATTTAATGTGGATAAGTGTAAAGTAATGCACATCGGGGGAAAAATAACCAACTATACGTACAGTATGATGGGGGCTAATTTGGCTACGACAAATCAGGAGAAAGATCTTGGAGTTATCGTGGACAGTTCTCTGAAAACTTCCACGCAGTGTGCAGCGGCGGTCAAAAAGGCAAATAGGATGCTAGGAATTATTAGGAAAGGGATAGAAAATAAGACCCAGAATATCTTACTGCCCCTGTATAAAACTATGGTACGCCCACATCTTGAATACTGTGTACAGATGTGGTGTCTCCTCACCTCAAAAAAGATATTTTGGCCTTGGAAAGGGTTCAGAAAAGGGCAACTAAAATGATTAGGGATTTGGAACGGGTCCCATATGAGGAGAGGCTAAAGAGACTGGGACTTTTCAGTTTAGAAAAAAGGAGACTGAGGGGGGATATGATAGAGGTCTATAAAATCATGAGTGGTGTGGAGAGGGCTGATAAAGAAAAGTTATTTATTAGTTCCCATAATAGAAGAACTAGAGGACACCAAATGAAATTAATGGGTAGCAGGTTTAAAACTAATAAAAGAAAGTTCTTCTTCACACAGCGTGTAGTCAACCTGTGGAACTCCTTGCCAGAGGAGGCTGTGAAGGCTAGGACTATAATAGAGTTTAAAGAGAAGCTAGATAATTTCATGGAGGTTAGGTCCATAAAAGGCTATTAGCCAGGGGATAAAATGGTGTCCTTGGCCTCTGTTTGTCAGAGGCTGGAGAGGGATGGCAGGAGACAAATCGCTTGATCATTGTCTTCAGTCCACCGTCTCTGGGGCATCTGGTGCTGGCCAGTGTCGGCAGACAGGATACTGGCTAGATGGACCTTTGGCCTCTGTTTGTCAGAGGCTGGAGAGAGATGGCAGGAGACACATCGCTTGATCATTGTCTTCGGTCCACCCTCTCTGGGGCACCTGGTGCTGGCCACTGTCAGCAAACAGAATACTGGGCTAGATGGACCTTTGGTCTGACCCAGTACAGCTGTTCTTATGTACACAGTGGTCCCCAACGTGGTGCCCGTGGGTGCCATGGCATTTATGTGCGCCCACCTAGGCTGCCCCCGGGAGCGCGGTTCTGGGCGTGCAGCTGCAAGCCCCGGGCTGCCCGACAGCCCCGCATGGTGCCCGCCACCTGAAAAGGTTGGGGACCACTGCACTACAGGAATGTTACATTTTATTACATTATGGTCACTATTTCTAAGCGGTCCAGTTATATTTACCCCTTGGACCAGATCCTGCACTCCACTTAAGACTAAATCAAGAATTGCCTCTCCCTTTGTGAGTTCCAGAACCAGCTGCTCCAAGAAGCAGTCATTAAGGTGTTAAGAAATTTTATATCGTCATCCTCTCCTGAGGTGACGTGTACCCAGTCAATATGGGGATAGTTGAAATCCTTCACTATTATTGAGTTTATTTTGATAGCCTCTCTAATTTCCCTTAGTTATAGTGACTAGGAAATGCTATCATGGTCAGGTGGTTAATAATATATCCCTACTGCTATGTTCTTATTAGAACATGGAATTACTGTCCATAGAGATTGTATGAAACATTTTGGTTCATTTAATATTTGTATTTCATCTGATTCTACATTTTTTTTTCATGCATAATGCCTCTCCCCCGCCAGCACAACTTGTTCTGTCCTTACAAAATATTTTGTACCCTGGTGTCCCATTGATTTTCCTCATTCTACCAAGTTTTCGTGATGCCTATTATATCAATATCCTCCTTTAATATGAGCCACTCTGGTTCACCTATCTTATTTAGATTTCTAGCATTTGTGTATAAGCACTTCAAAAATGTGTCACTATTTATCTGTCTGCCATTTCCTGATGTGTTAGACTCTATTTGATTGTTTATCTGATCTTACCCTACTTTATCATCTTACAAATTCTCTCTTTTAGTAAAGACGAGAGGATGGATTACTAGACCTTCCTCTAAGAGATGTCTGATCCATGCGCTCCTCCGCACCTGCCGGCTTTCCCCCAGCCCTTAGTTTAAAAACTGCTCTACATCCTTGTTAGTGTTAAGTGCCAGCAACCTGGCTCCATTTTGGTTTAGGTGGAGCCCAGCCTTCCCATGTAGGAACTATATAGGTTTTTTTTTACCAAGTCTTAGGCTTGCTAAATTGAGCTCTGGAAGCTTGATCGCGGCAGCATTGATTTTTTTTTTCCACAAAGTGAAGACAAGGCCTCAGTCAGCTTAATCCAAGCGTCAGAAGAGTTTTGTCAGTCAAAAATCACCATCTGAAATGTAAACTATGCAGGCTAATGAAATCCATGGCAGCACAAGTCAAACGGAGATGGGAAAAGGATTTGTAAGCAGAAATCTTGCAAGCTTTACACTAGTTTGTTCTCTTGCAGGGGTTCGCTCCTCCAGTCCTTGTTTTTGTGCAGTCCATTGAAAGGGCTAAAGAGCTCTTCCATGAGCTCATTTATGAAGGGATCAATGTGGATGTCATCCATGCAGACAAAACTCAGCAGCAGGTAGGAGTTTGTAAATATACACTGAAATCTTTATCTGGCACTCTGTTAACCAGAAAACTTTAACTGGCATTGTCCCCAGCCACAATACTGTCACATCTTCAGGCGCACAGGCCTGGCTTGGTTTACCATGATTGGCTTAATTTTGTATTTAAGAAGTATTAATCATCTTTAACTCAAAATAGAAATGTGAGACCAACTGCTTCACACTACAAAAACTACCTATATTAAAAACCTGAGTGTTACTATTATTGTCCATTGGTTTTTCCTAGGTTGATGGGACCCTTAGATAACTGGAATGTCCTAATCCCTGAGCATGCCGAATAATACAGGTTTTACTGTAATTGCCTTTATAGGAACTGTTTAGGAAGCAAATTGTACATGCTGTAGCGTACAAATGAGAATATCCATCTGCAGTAGTTAAGTGTGACAAATGGTCTTGTCATTACTGTTTAGTATAATGTTGGCAGATAGCTATACAGAAACCTCTTCCATTCTCGAGCTGCTTATTAGTAGGTCACTTACACAATTTTTGTTTGATCAGAGAGATAACGTCGTACACAGTTTCAGAGCTGGGAAGATTTGGGTGCTCATCTGCACAGCCTTGCTAGCACGAGGGATTGACTTCAAAGGAGTGAATATGGTCATTAACTATGACTTCCCCTCCAGTGCGGTGGAATACATCCACAGAATAGGTGAGTAATTGTTCTTTGACAAAGTAGGATGTGTGGACTCTTTAGGTTAGATTTTGAATGGAGAGTGTTGTCAGGTGTATAGCGTAAAAATCTTAGTGTTGCTCCTGATGCTGAATTTGCCACATCTTTTAATCTACCTCATATCTCAGTTCACCCATCTGTACAACTGGGTTTCTGGCTTACCTCTCAGAAGTTTTATGATCCTTAAATCTCATTTGTAAAGTGTTTTTAGATGCTTCGTAATTGTAACTTATTACTCTTACTTACGAGCTACATGGCTGAGTGAAAACTGAGTCATCTATTGGCAAACTGCACTTGGTGCTAGGGAAGAAGAATTACTTTAAGCTGCTTGAAAGTAAAAACTTTTAACTTTGCATGATTGGTCTTTGGCAGGTCGTACTGGAAGAGCAGGACACACAGGAAAAGCAGTTACTTTTTTTACGGAAGATGATAAACCTTTATTGCGAAGGTAAATTGGGAAAAGCTACATTGCTGATCCTTGTTTCATTCCCATGTTGCTGGATTCTTTCCCAAAACAATTAATTACCAAATGGTTGTGTGTTTGGTATTAAATTCCTCACCACAGCATAACATTTTCATAGATTTGAACCCAAAGTATATAAAATGACTTAAGTGTGAGGCTTTAAGTTCTCAACTCTCCATACTTTGGAATTGCAAGATAATCTGTCACCAAATTTCCCTTTAGTGAGAGAAGCTTAACTTTGCTACATTTTGTGAATGCACTAATGGAGAATTCTGTGTCCTGTCCTCAAACCCAATAATGGCACTACAAAGGACTAACCTATTAACAACGCTGTCTATAAGTGTACAGTGTGATGTATCAGATCTCACTAGTGGAATTGGTAAATGTGCACCTTTTTAATAGGAATCAGGCCATTGTGGTTGAGTAGGTCTGCTGCACCCAGCAGCGGCTGCTAGTTTTTTGGTCCTCCCAAGCAGCGTTCCCTCCCAGTCAGTCAGCTCCATGTATGCCTGACTGGGCAGGGCTGATAAATCACCTGTGAAGCTGTGTTGCTGTGCAGTCTAGAAGGAACACTGCTCTCAAGTCTCTTACCTTGTTCACTATCAAACAAAACTCCTCATAGCTTTTTGAAAAAGCTTATGTATCCTATCGTGGCTTTGAAACTACAGGCCTGCTCTCATGTCTCAGCCTACTGTTGTCTGAATTAATAGCCTTTGGCAAAACTTTCCTTTTTAACTTCTTATTGCTTCTGTCACTTACTTACCATGGTTACTGCACTAATGGAATTTTAGTTTCAGTTCATTAGAAGCCAGTGAGCTTAAATGTTTATTTTCATCCCTACCAAGTGATAGTTACTATTTTCTCTTTCTGCTTCAAATTTCCCTGGCTCATTTCTTTTCATTGCAGAGCAGAAATAACCCAACTGTTTCTTAGAAATTGTTCTCCATTAAAGAACTATCTATTCAGGAATTCAGTACTTTATTTGATATCCCCCTCCTCCCCGCTCTCTCCTCCAGTGTAGCCAATGTTATCCAGAGGGCTGGCTGTCCTGTACCAGACTATATAAAAACCTTCCACAAACTGCAAAGGTAAGGATGCTTTAGGTCTCTTTCTGGTTGGTGTGACATTTGAAATTAGGAGAGTTGCAAGCAATCTGTTAAATTGCTCTTCCTGTGTAGGTGCTTTCCACTTTTCTTCACACATATTGTCAGAATCAATAGTGTCCATTTTTATGAACAGTAGTTAAAATATGGAGGGGAGTTGAATTTGATGTGGGCCTTTTGTATGTAACACCAGGTATACTGAACAGATGTGAGCAAAACACATTAGTAACCATAATTAAATTGTGTAGTGTGGATAAAAGCAGGATAAGAGAGACTTCCAAAACGTAAGTTTTAACAGCAAGGGTATGTCTAGACTATATCACTCTGTCGAAATAGGGATGTAAATTAGGCAAATCGAAAGCGCAAATGAAGCGGGGATTTAAATATCCCATGCTTCATTTGCATAATGACATCCAAGTGCTTTTTCGAAAAGGTTTTTCGAAAGTGAAAGCGCTGTCTTTTGAAAAAACACTGAGATGCTATTATGCAAATGAAGTGTGAGATATTTAAATCACCACTTCATTTGCATTTTTGATTTGCCTAATTTACATCCCTCTTTCGACAGTGGGATGTAGTTTAGACATACCCCTAAAGAGGTTAATACATCAAATTAAGGATGTTAAGTAGCAGGTATTTAATCGAGTAGTCAATAGAATATTTATCAACTACTTCAGGGGTGGCCAACCTGTGGCTCCACAGAAGTTAATATGAAGCTCCTTGCATAGGTACCAAATCCAGGGCTGGTGCTACAGGTGCCAAATTTACACTGGGCCTGAGGGAGCTCCCTGTTCAACCCCCAGCTCTACCCTAGGTGCTTTTCCCACCCCCTCCCCACACACACTCCTTACCCCTAGGATCCTGCCACCTCCCACCCTCTCCCTTGGGTCTGTCACACCCATGTCTTCCCCCCCCTACAGTGTCCCCCACTGAGAGAGGGCTGATCCCAGTGGGCAGGAAGAAGAGGAGGAGGCACTGTCCATGGACAGGGTGGGCTGAGTGGAGATGATCAGGGCTGGTGACATAGAACTGTGGCTCTTGGGCAATGTGCATTGATAATCTGAGAAGGAGCCAGAATTTTTGGTTGGCCACCCCTGAACTACTTGATCAATGGATAGGCAGCTGGCTCAGTCCCAGCTCCTGCCAGGTCTGGAACTAAATCCTGCTGCGGCTCTGCAATTTAAAAGGTAGTAGGAGCTGAGCAGCCTGCACCCAGCTCCTACTGCATTTTAAATTGCAGAGCCATAGAGTTTGTTCCTGGACCAGCACGAGCAGGGGCTGAGGTGGGCTGCCTGCCTGCCCGACTTCTACTATTTTTATATGCAGAGTCTGCCCCTGGTGGTATAGATTACTAGAACTGGAAGGGACCTCAAGAGGTCATAGAGTCCAGTCTGCTGCCCTCATAGCAAGACCAAGCACCATCTAGATCAGCGTTTCTTAAAGTGTGTTCCGTGGAGAGAACATAATAAGTGTGTTCTGTGGAGAGAACATAATTCCCCTTAAAGGGACAAGCCTCTTTTTTGGCTCAACTTTTCCCTGATGGCTCCTCCCCCCCCCCCCCCCCCCTTGGTGTATCCTATTAAAAAAAAATTGTTAGGTGTTCCTTGGTCTTAAAGTTTAAGAAACTCTGGTCTAGATCATCTGATAGATGTGTATCTAACCAGCTCTTAAATATCTCCAGTGAAAGAGATTCCACAACCTCCCTAGGCAATTTATTAACCACCCTGACAGTTATGAAGATTTTCCCCCTAAACCTCCCTTGCTACAGTTTAAGCCCGTTGCTTCTTGTCCGATCCTCAGAGGCCAAGGAGAACGATTTTTCTCCCTCCTCCTTGTAACACCCTTTTAGATACTTCCAAAAGTATAGCTAGAGGCAGCGCAGGGGGGAGGTGGCACTGCGGAGACGGTGCTAGGGAGAACTGGCTCTTAAGCCAGCTCCCCCCAGCACTGAGTTCTGCTGCTCCTCCTCCCCCCCCAGCTGCCACCTCTGATAAAGAAGCACTGGGGGTTGGGGAAATGTGAGTAGTCGACTCGACTACCCAATAAGCCTACTTAGGCTCATCGGGTAGTTGACTGCTCCCTTACATCCCTATATCAAATACAAACTTTTTCATTTATTATTACATTGGACAGTTTGTAGTCTAGGCACAGAGAGAAATAGAAAAAGGAAGGTTTTGCTGTAAGGGAATATGGCTTTAGGTTTTCTTCTGATTATTTTACATGCTTATAATTGGGCAGATTTATAGCTGCATTTTAGGACTAAAAATAGCTCTCACTGGAGTTTCTCTTTAAAGAGAGCACTCCCCTTAAAGAAGTTCCTAGCATCCCTGGTCCTTCAGAGGGTACTGCACAGGTGAAACTCATTGCAGGATCAGAATCCTACTGAGTGTAAAATCCGGGAGGACTGCCAGCATCTAACACTGCCCAACTGCTAAAATTGTTTCTGGAAGCTTTGTTGACATTTTCAGAGTATTTTACAAAAACCCACCACTTGTATGTTTTTCATATTGGTCTGATTGGTTTTAACACCAAGCTAGAGATCGGTTGATGTATGCCATCTTTCACATGCGTTTTCAACACTGAGTAATATTTTTCAAACCTATTTAAAATAAAGCTGGGCTTACTGGTCCAGAGAGCCAACCACTGGGGGACAAGGACAAAAAAAGGAAACGCCAAAAGAGAGAGCTGGCTGAATTGTGAAATCCTAGGAATAAACTATCTATACACAATTTGTATTAGGTGTTGGTTAAACTGAAGGTATTGTAAGTACCTAGTATGTTTATTTCCAATGTGGAGCTTGCCTTTTAACAGAGCCTTCATCTTATTTTCCTAAATGCCGTATCCAGCAAACAAAAGAAGAAGCTGATTAAGAAACCTTTGGAAAGGGAGCGTATTTGTACCACTCCTCAGTACTTACTAGAAAAAGCCAAGAAAAAAAAGTAAGTGGTTTCTTTCAAAAGGGACTGAAGGATAATGTTTATTTACTTACAAGAAGAGAGAACTTCAGATTTTAAAAAAGAGAAAATGCTATGCAAATTTACTGTTTACATGGGGAACTCTAGAAATGCATTATCCACAAGACTGGTCCAGCAGTGGCATCAGAGGTGCACACTTCTCCATGTTGCCCTGCCATTGTGCTTTACACCTGATGTGCATGGATCACCTCTTGTCTAATCTGTGTAGCCAATTCAGTCCTTGACCTCTCTATTGAGACAGCTCGTAAGGGTGCCAGTTTCTGGTGGTGACTCTTAGTGTGAAGATCTGCTCATTAGAAACCAGACTAAGGTCACCAAACAACTATTGGGTGGTAGCAATTCAGCTTATTATGAAGCTGCGTTAAATTTGAACCTGTAACCTGAACGTACGGCTCTACAGATGAACTGTCAATCACTTGAGTGAGCCAATACCCTTCCTTGAACTTTAATATTCTGATATATTAACAGAAATAACAAACCTACAGTCGCATTTCATAGTAGCTTAACCTCTGCAGTCAAGGAAGCCTGGAATCTGTCTCCTCTTGACCCAATGGAACAGATTTCCTAGGGCGTGGGCTTGACTGGCAGAGATACACATGTCAAGGTGGCATAAGAGGAAGAGAAAGTATTGTTCCTCTGAAGAGGCAAAAGAAGGCTGCAGGATGGTACAGTGGGTTACAACAAATGCTGAATGTTTAAATGCTCAAGGTATAAAGCAAAGGCAGGGAACCTTTTTGGAGTTGGGAGGAGGGGTCACTGAAGGGGGGAAAAAACCCTCACAGATGTGAGCCCCAACTGACAGGCAGAAAAAAGACACTGCCCTCAAGCTCATCCCCATGAAAGTGGGGGAGGGGAAGGCTCAGAGCTTACCAGGACTAGATTAACTCTTTTGGGGGCCTGCTACTAGTGGATTTTGTGGGCCCTCCTAGGTTCTGGGGTAGAGCAATAAATGAAAGGCTCAGTGTGCAGGAGGTGGTGCTGGGGAGCAGGCTGGAGGTAGTGGTGTGGGGTCTGGGTTGGAAGGTAGGGTGCAGGAGTGGGGTGGTGGGTATGGTGGAAGGGAGGGAGGAAACAGGATGGCAATGTGGGGAAGGAAGGGATCAGGATGAGAGTGTGGTGTCCGGGCAGGAGTAGGATGGGGTGGAGATGCGGGTGGGAGGGAGGATGTGGAGAGATGGGGTCTGGATGGTGGGGTGGAGGTCTGGGGAGGGGATGGGGCTCCTGCCACCACAGGAGCTGTGGG